TCATAATTAAGTAATTTATCGAGTCTAAAAGAACCAGAAACCCAATCGCAAACAAGAAACCAGGGTTAAACCTCTGCGGCTGTTCAAAAGACCGGGGAGAAGTGTGAACCGGGCGATAGACAAATCTATCTATTACTATTGAGTAAAAAAATAAACAAATAGTAAATAAGGTTTCAGAGTTTAAGCGATGACGTTGAGACGTATAGAGTTGACGCAGACCTTAGACGGAACCGGAAATCCAGTCACAAACAGGAAAACTAGGGGTAAACCTCTGCTCCAGATCAAATGTGCTGGTACAAGTGTAAATCGGACCGTAGGCAAGCCTATCTACCAATGTGAACTATCTGCGACTTTGAAGCCGTCGGTCACTCGTGGTGTGAAAAGCCACAGGAATACAGTGCGAGTAGATACTGGTGTGGTTCAATCATGTGTCGAGAATTCAGAGATTTTTTTCCCACCGGTTTCAACTGCTACCCAATCAATGCTAGAAAGCTGTGTCTACTGTGCTGTAATTCATCCTTTTCCCGAGAGCATTAGTACCAGATGAACGCTATGGATTAGGCTTATTCCGGATTAGTCATTGTTAAAGACTCACAGCTGTCGCAAAGTCTAAAACATGTTTTAAACTTGCTGTCTTGATAGAAGCAACTTTGTCGCATCCATTAAAGGTAACCGTTTTATTCGTATCATATATATATATATATATATATATATATATATATATATATATATAAGCCTTCAGCCATAACTCTATAAACGTTGATCTATATAACAATTGTTAAAACTTGACTAAAGATTATTTATATTGAATTAGTCAAAATTTAACAATAGCTTTTTAATAGCGACGACAGATTACACTAAACTTAAACGGATTTGAATAAGAAAATTTTTAGAAGCCATGTTTAACCCGAAGGTAAAATTTAAATGAATTCAGTGAATATACAAAAGTAGATGTGTTTTCTCGCCGAATTTAACCTATACAATGTCCAAACAGGTTTCATTATTGGCGGTCAGGTTCTGAAGATAAGCAGATGATACAGTATTGAAAGCAGGCAGAGAATGGAAACTATTAAATTCATACAGAAGTTAGTAAAGGAAAGCGAGAAGAAAGGACTAAGCCTCAATTATAAGAAGACAGGATGTATTGTTTTCAGCAAAGGAAGCAGCCCATGATATAAACTATGAATTGGAAGCACCAAAATCAAGCAACTACAAAAATTTAAATATCTAAGAAGTATTTAAACAAAGGACGGAAAATGCGACAACGAAATCCGAAAACGCGTTGGGATAGAGAAAAAAGCCTTCCTAAAGCTAAGCAAAGTATTAAGAAACACGGAAAATTTCCTTAGAAACAAACAAGAGTACTGGACTGTTTTATAATAAGCGTAAGACTGATCAAAACAGATAACTGAAATTTTTCAAGATCAGCGTTCCGTTTCACAATATGATCACGTCGGCGTCACGTGGGCGATGTTGTGAAAACGTATTCCTAAAATAGAGTATTTTGATTGAAAAATGAAAAGAATTTTTTTTTAATCTAAAACTTATGTCCATCGTCTTTTCATGGTGAATTGAATATAGTCTAATGTTAATTATGTTTTATGAATATGTCCTGAAGATGGTCTATTAGACCGAAACGTCCGACGTTGACATTATATTAACATTAAAACAGCATAATTGCATATTAGGATTTTTGTTTGTTTTTTCTGTATATTTTTCTTCGTACTGTCAGATCTTTATCCATATATTTGTTACACATATATATATATATATATATA